GGAGATAGATTAATAGGTACCACTTGAAAATAGTTTGAATGATATGAAATCATAAAACATATTTTCCAACGACTGTGGAAAGCCAAAATTTACAATATAAAAGCAAAAGCTCAAAAGTTTCATTCAGATTGAAAAAAAAAGAATCAATAAAACAAGCAAAAAAAGCGACTTTTTTTCTTTCTTAAAATGACAGAAAGCTTTAGCTTTCTTAAAATTTTGAGCCGACTTGGTATTCAGAAGACCGTTATTGACTGTGTTGAAAAATCTAAATTGCGATGGTTTGGGCATGTCGTGCGTAGAGAAGATAGTAATCCAATCCAAGAAGCGTATTCCCTTGAGGTCCCTGGAAAAAGACGCAAAGGAAGACCAAGAAAGACATGGATAGAGGACGTGAAGGAGGAAATGAGAAGACGAGGACTGACGGAAGCCGACGCACACGACCGCAAACTCTGGCGCTCGAAGATTCAGGAGCGCCCCGCCGACCCCGTTTGAACGGGATAAGGCGGCAATGATGATGATGATGATGATGACAGAAAGCTTTTTAGCGTACAATATTAAGGTGCTGCGGAGAACCATTTTTTTGCTATTCAGATACAAGACTAGAGCACCAACCCTGGTAAATTGCTTTGCTCGATGAGGCTATGGTACCTAGAAAAAAAATTTGCAAAAACAAAATTTTTTTTTCCATAAATTTCGTTTTTTTTTCAAATTTTTTTCGATACTCATATAAAATAAATTTCAGTCGGTTAATTGATTGCGTGCTTTAAACACATCATCCATCTACTTGCGTTTGCTGACGTCTTTTTGTAGAGTTTTTTCGTTTTTGCTGGGGGGGAGATAGCTCAATTGGTCATTACGGGGGTAAGATTGCTCAATTGATCCCATAAAACCCTACGCCATAGCTCTTGCCCACCCTTCATGGAGATCGTCAGAAAAACGATGGGTGATCAAAACCTCAATTGTTTGAGAGAATATCAATGATTTGTTTTTATCAAATCTGTAACGGCAGCAATCATTTGATTTTCTTATGCATATTGGCACTTTTAGAGCAAAATTAATCAATCGACAGCTAAAACTGCTTCATCCCATGGTCCATGAATCGTATTTTTCATTTTCTGCATTCTGACAAACACATACGGCAGCAGTAAAAGGATTGAAATAAAGAGCAGAAATATTAAACAGAAGGCCACTAAACTGATGAACGCAAAGGCGATTGTTACAAAAATTGTGATCAAAATGTTAGCATAAACCGTTTTCAACGGGTATTTATCTCGCATTCGTTCTGTGAATTTGGGTGCATAAGCGAAGAAGACAAAAGCTTGAATCACCATAGTGAACGTGTGAGCTGTTCCGTCCAAACGTGATGCCAGTAACACTGAGACAAATATGCCACAATTTAAAGAAATAGGACTAAACAGTAAGCTCGAATATGTTCCGTAATTATGGAATAAAACATTTAAAAGAAAGCACAGGGTGGACAATGCATAAATCGTATCAGAACTAATTTCAGCAGTTAAAGTGTTTAAAACGGGCGACAAAATGAATACCAAGCTAGCGAGGAGGCTAGCTCTTCTTAAATCGTTTACAACCGTTTTTGTAGTAGATGGCTTGCTATCGCAGCAGCTTTCTTCCAAGTATAGATGATAAATCAAGTAACAAAATCCTACTCCGCACATTAAAAACATAAGAACAGGAAGAGGACTGAGTCTTTCGTGCGAGAATAAAACAAAAATTCCTATTTCCAACAACACGAAAGACACATGTTGAGCAATGTATGAGCTAGTTTCTGAAACAGTCACAAAATCGTAAAGCTTGATATTAACGTTTTTTTTTAATTCTTGTAGAAACGAGGGTCCAATATAATTATCGGGTTCATCATTTTTTACATACAAAATTTTCCCACTCCGTCTGGTCATCCGCATTTCTGCTTTATATCAACTTGATCTTAAAAGTATGGAAAACATCAAAAAAGACGATACTCTTTTTTTTAAAGAAAACGATCAAAGGACAAAAGTATCATAACTGTTATGATACTGGTCGAAAGTATCATAGTAACCGAGGTTACAGTCAGGAGTTCCTTCATCAAATTTATCTAGTCAAAATTCTCGAAATTTTCTAGATAAGGAAACGATTATGATAGAAAGATGATAAGTGTTGATGTGTTTGAAGAATGCATTAAAATTGTAAATTCAAACAAACGTTTTCGCACATTTTTGTGCATCTTCAGATTTTAAAAATTCTAAACTATCTGTACAAAATGATCAAAGATCATGAAAAGTGTCATACACATCATTATTTCAAAATTTCAAAAATTCAACCAATCAAAACTTTACAAATATTACTGAAAGCATGTAACAACTATTATGTAACAATTTTAAACAAATTGTCACAAATTTCTGAGAGTTTTCGCCTTTTTTGTTTTTACAATTTCGTTTGGTCGCTAATTTTCATGCTAACAAATACGTTATTTCAAAATTTCGATTCTCGAACTATAGCCTCAGTGACAGCTCCCTACTTCTAAACTCGTCGCGCGTGTTAATTGCCGGTCTCTCTTTCCTAATGTGCAGCGCCTCTAATGTAAGTAACTTGATGCTGCTGGACGCCTGGTCGATTATTTTCCATTTAAACTCCGACTTACCACTCTCACTACCACACTGCCATATATGCTGTCCAAATGGGGTATCCTCTTTTCGGTGTTCCTCAATCCTTGTGGTGAGACGTCGGACCGTCTGGGCAACATAGATGGATTTGCACCCACAACATTCAAGACTGTACACCACTTTCGGTTTTAATTCACTGGAAAAGGAGGATTTTAGAGAGGGCATACAAGTTTTCATTTTCCTCGTCGTGAATATTATCTGCGCATTGGTGATATCGCGCACTTTTTTTGCTAATGTCTGACTGTGATTCCCCCTATATTGGACCATCAAGATGGGTAGTGAATCACTGCTATAATCACAGGGCTTCTTTTTCTCAGCCATGTTCTTTTTGCTTTTGCCCTCCCTGATGATCTTTTCAAGGGCATGGGATGCAACCCGCGACTACCAACTTTCCGGATATTGGTTATCCAACCACTGCTCACGGTTGATTTTCATAGCTTTATCATATTCTTCCCATGTTGAAGTACTGCGGAAAACCCGGTGAACAGTTCCTTCAATCACACTTCTCTTGTTCTGGAGGGGGCGCAGCTTCTAAAAACTAGTATGGTACCTGTATTTGTTGGTTTTTGATACCACCCACAGTTAACTTTCCTGCTTTTGTCAATACTAATTTGTAAATCCAAAAATGCCAATTTTCCGTTTGTGTTTTGTGTCTCTATTGTGAACTGTAAATTTTGATGTAGTAAGTTTGCAGCCCGTAGCAATTTTTCAGGATCACCCTTCACTGTTCTCACTATATCGTCAACGTAACGGAGAAATAACTTAGCTTGCAGCACTGACTTATTTTTCTCTCTTATTGCGATGCATTTTCTACAGTACCAGACAGTTTCACTTATATTTCGATACTCATCAGCTAATATATCACCGCATTTTACGTGATACCAGTTCATACAGCATTCACATTCTACACCTTTTGACCTCTACGTGACTTTCTTATTGCACTCGGTACATATTCCCTTAAGATCTTTCTCGGGCAAAAAGATTTTGGGAGTATCCCTCGATAGTGCAGTTTCGCACTGCTTCAGCCACAGATTTGCTAAATTTATGGCAAAAGATGCCCCCATTGGCAAACCATCGTTCTGAGCGTACCATGTTTCATTGCACTTGAAATGGATTTGACTAACTGCCATGTTCAACAGTCTCTTCATGGTTTTCCTAGCAATTGATGGTGGTTCATCTTGCTCATACAGTTTTCTCAGAGCTATGTCTATTGCTTCTTTCAGTGGAACATTTGTATACAAACTCTTCACATCTAGAGATATCAAATTTTCATTGGGCTCAAGATTAGTGCTCTCTAAGATTTTTCTCGCATCTAGTGAGTTGGTTTCGATGTTTGCGCCCTCAATTTTATCAAAAAACTTTGCAAGAACCTTGTTCAAGTTATAATAAGAGCTACCAGGCAAGGAGAGGACCGTTCTTAATGGGGTATTCACTTTATGCATTTTCGCCAACCCGTAAAGCCTGGCGGGCTGCCCCCCAGTAGACCTCATCCTTGTGTAGAGATTCTCACTTATTTCGTCTTTTTTCCTCATAGCCAACAACTCCTTTTTGATGTCTCTTTCTATCTTCAAAACAATCGCATCACTTGTTCCTTTACTTTTGCTGAATTGATTGGAATCTAATGTATCCGTTCTCGTAGGTGTCCTTCCGCATTACACAAAAACCCACGCCTTTGTCATACGGTACCGCAACTAATCCATTACTCTTCAGATACTTTCGGGCCTTCTCAACGCCTTTGTCAGATGGTGTTTTTTTCAACCTTTTAGCATAGGCTTTTGCCACAGCTTCGATCTCACAAAGGGCCTCCCCGAGGATTTTACTATTTTTGAGATCCGATAGAAAGATGTCAATGTCGGCGAGCTAGTGTGTCTCATTAAATTTATCCCTGAAGGGATGTTTTGGCCCTAATGCCAACACTTGTTGTACCCAACTTGGTAATTCAACATCATCATGAGCTCTTACGGAACCCTCACCTTGCTTTCCTAGAGGTCGGTCATGCCTTTCTGATAGTTTCATTAGCTTCTTCTGATGGGTCTCTTTGAGCAATGTGCAGCGACACATGCAAAGTTTCTGATAGTTTCATTAGCTTCTTCTGATGGGTCTCTTTGAGCAATGTTCAGCGACACATGCAAAGTGCAGCGACACATGCAAGCGTCACAATGAGCAAAGACACATGTTGAGCAATGTATGAGCTAGTTTCTGAAACAGTCACAAAATCGTAAAGCTTGATATTAACGTTTTTTTTTTAATTCTTGTAGAAACGAGGGTCCAATATAATTATCGGGTTCATCATTTTTTACATACAAAATTTTCCCACTCCGTCTGGTCATCCGCATTTCTGCTTTATATCAACTTGATCTTAAAAGTATGGAAAACATCAAAAAAGACGATACTCTTTTTTTTAAAGAAAACGATCAAAGGACAAAAGTATCATAACTGTTATGATACTGGTCGAAAGTATCATAGTAACCGAGGTTACAGTCAGGAGTTCCTTCATCAAATTTATCTAGTCAAAATTCTCGAAATTTTCTAGATAAGGAAACGATTATGATAGAAAGATGATAAGTGTTGATGTGTTTGAAGAATGCATTAAAATTGTAAATTCAAACAAACGTTTTCGCACATTTTTGTGCATCTTCAGATTTTAAAAATTCTAAACTATCTGTACAAAATGATCAAAGATCATGAAAAGTGTCATACACATCATTATTTCAAAATTTCAAAAATTCAACCAATCAAAACTTTACAAATATTACTGAAAGCATGTAACAACTATTATGTAACAATTTTAAACAAATTGTCACAAATTTCTGAGAGTTTTCGCCTTTTTTGTTTTTACAATTTCGTTTGGTCGCTAATTTTCATGCTAACAAATACGTTATTTCAAAATTTCGATTCTCGAACTATAGCCTCAGTGACAGCTCCCTACTTCTAAACTCGTCGCGCGTGTTAATTGCCGGTCTCTCTTTCCTAATGTGCAGCGCCTCTAATGTAAGTAACTTGATGCTGCTGGACGCCTGGTCGATTATTTTCCATTTAAACTCCGACTTACCACTCTCACTACCACACTGCCATATATGCTGTCCAAATGGGGTATCCTCTTTTCGGTGTTCCTCAATCCTTGTGGTGAGACGTCGGACCGTCTGGGCAACATAGATGGATTTGCACCCACAACATTCAAGACTGTACACCACTTTCGGTTTTAATTCACTGGAAAAGGAGGATTTTAGAGAGGGCATACAAGTTTTCATTTTCCTCGTCGTGAATATTATCTGCGCATTGGTGATATCGCGCACTTTTTTTGCTAATGTCTGACTGTGATTCCCCCTATATTGGACCATCAAGATGGGTAGTGAATCACTGCTATAATCACAGGGCTTCTTTTTCTCAGCCATGTTCTTTTTGCTTTTGCCCTCCCTGATGATCTTTTCAAGGGCATGGGATGCAACCCGCGACTACCAACTTTCCGGATATTGGTTATCCAACCACTGCTCACGGTTGATTTTCATAGCTTTATCATATTCTTCCCATGTTGAAGTACTGCGGAAAACCCGGTGAACAGTTCCTTCAATCACTTTTCTCTTGTTCTGGAGGGGGCGCAGCTTCTAAAAACTAGTATGGTACCTGTATTTGTTGGTTTTTGATACCACCCACAGTTAACTTTCCTGCTTTTGTCAATACTAATTTGTAAATCCAAAAATGCCAATTTTCCGTTTGTGTTTTGTGTCTCTATTGTGAACTGTAAATTTTGATGTAGTAAGTTTGCAGCCCGTAGCAGTTTTTCAGGATCACCCTTCACTGTTCTCACTATATCGTCAACGGAGAAATAAGTTAGCTTGCAGCACTGACTTATTTTTCTCTCTTATTGCGATGCATTTTCTACAGTACCAGACAGTTTCACTTATAATTCGATACTCATCAGCTAATATATCACCGCATTTTACGTGATACCAGTTCATACAGCATTCACATTCTACACCTTTTGACCTGTACGTGACTTTCTTATTGCACTCGGTACATATTCCGTTAAGATCTTTCTCGGGCAAAAAGATTTCGGGAGTATCCCCCGATAGTGCAGTTTCGCACTGCTTCAGCCACAGATTTGCTAAATTTATGGCAAAAGATGCCCCCATTGGCAAACCATCGTTCTGAGCGTACCATGTTTCATTGCACTTGAAATGGATTTGACTAACTGCCATGTTCAACAGTCTCTTCATGGTTTTCCTAGCAATTGATGGTGGTTCATCTTGCTCATACAGTTTTCTCAGAGCTATGTCTATTGCTTCTTTCAGTGGAACATTTGTATACAAACTCTTCACATCTAGAGATATCAAATTTTCATTGGGCTCAAGATTAGTGCTCTCTAAGATTTTTCTCGCATCTAGTGAGTTGGTTTCGATGTTTGCGCCCTCAATTTTATCAAAA